CCTGTATCCGGGATCTTGTCCTTTCGGTTATGACCCAAAGTTCATGACCATAGGTGACAGTCGGAACGTAGATTGACCAGTAAATCGAGAGCTTCGCCTTACAGCTCAGCTCCTTCTTCACCACGACGGATCGGTACATCGACCGCATTACTGCAGAAGCTGCACCGATCCGTCTGTCAATCTCCCGTTCCATCCTTCCCTTACTCGTGAACAAGACCCCAAGATACTTGAACTCCTCCACTTGAGGCAGGAACTCTCCACCAACCTGAAGGGAACAAGCCACCCTTTTCCGACTGAGAACCATGGCCTCGGATTTGGAGGTGCTGATTCTCATCCCAGCCGCTTCACACACGGTTGCAAACCGCCCCAGTGCACGCTGGAGGTCCTGGTTTGATGGGGCCAACAGGACCTCCGTGTGTTTCCTAATTATATCCACTGCATTAAATTAGGAGCTGGTGGGCTCTAATCAAGCTGTAAAAGCATCTCAAGGACTATTGATAGGAGTACAGTAGGATGCACCAGAACTCAATTGCAAGTGTCATAACAAAGTGTCTGAATACTTATTTAAACGAGATATTTTAGTCTTGTATATCTAATAAATAACACTTCAAAAACCCATTTTCATGTTATTGTTTTGGAGTACTGTGTGTAGACTGAGAAAAAAAAAACTGAGCCCATTTTAAGATGAGTCTGAAACATAAAATGTGGAAAAATAGAAGGGTCTTCCCATATGCACTGTATATACTGTGGCAAGAAAAATTTGGTGAACCAATGAGAATTGCCTGATTTTCTACATGATTTGGTCATAAAATGTGATTTGATCTCCTCAGTCACAAGTATAGACAAACAACATGCTTGAGCTAATACCACGCAGACAATTCTAATCTTCCATGTCCTTATTGAACACACCCATTACACAATCACGGTGAACTCTTGGATTTAATAACTGGTTGAATCTTCTTTTGGCAGCATTAACCTCAAACAAACACTTCAGAGTAGCATAATGTTGAGGAGCAATTTTAGACCATTCTTACTCACAGAGCTGCTTCAGCTCAGCCATATTCCCAGGATGGCTTGTGTGAATGGCTCTTGAAATCATTCCACAGCATCTCTGTTAGGTTGAGGTCAGGGCTCTGACTGGAACACTCCATATGGCAGATTTTCTTGTTTTGAAGCCATTCTGTAATATATTTACTTAAGTGTTTAGGGTGACTATCCTACTGCATCATTTAACTTCTACTGGGTTTCAGCTGGTGGAGAGCACCCTGATCTTGTCCTGTGAGATTCCCCCGATGAATGTGGGAATTATTTTTCCCCTCCATGATGGCAAGCTGTCCAAGTCTAGAGGCAGTGCCAAATTATGATGCTCCTTTCACTGAACTTTGCAGTTTAAATGTTGCACTTCCATATAGAGAAGTGCCTCATCAAATTCCAATGGTGAAAAAGTTTAAGTCACAAAATAAAATCACACTCATTTGACTTATTTTTGACAGCATGAGCATAATATTCTGTTGTCCATTGCATTCACTAACTTGTCGCTCATTGAATTCTTTGTACAAGTTAGCATGTCTCTTGGCGAGGTGCTTAGCTAATTAGATGTTTTGGCTCACTTGGCTTGCGTACATTTGAAACAAGCTGGGATATGTGATGTCTCTCTGCTTGCCCTGGCTGTTGGTTATGTGAGCAATATAATGCCACATTTAGCTTTGTGCATCTACAAGCCTTGGATGGTCAAGAAAAGAACTTGTATGCAGCCATGCCACTCATTTTTCACCATGAAAGCTACCTGCTCCCATATATGAAAATAGTTGGCACACCCACTATGACTGCAGGGAGTGGAAACACAGTGCTGCACACATGCACTACCCTGCTGTCACACATCCATACAGCTTAGGAATATCATTCTTAATAAAACACTGTCATAGTTCAAGTGTTGGTACTAATAAAATGGGGTATTGTATCATTTTTAAAAGTAGGATATTGCAATACCTTTCTAGCACTGCTATACTGTGCAGCACTGTGCCATTGTAAATCTTTGTAAACCTGTGTTTTCCAGCAGACAGATGATGCCCAGACAGACAGTCAGCCACCAACACAGACTGTAAGTGAAAGCACAGACAGCAAGGCCCAGCCTAAGAGACTGCACGTCTCCAACATCCCCTTCAGGTTCAGAGACCCAGATCTCAGGCAAATGTTTGGTGTAAGTACAACAATACAGAGTAAATGACATACATACAATTTGGCACATCTTAGGTTGATTTCTTTCTTTTTACAGAACATTTGAGTTGATAAAGAAAAGTTAAAGCAGTTGGGTTTTAATTTTCTGTCTAATTGATGGCAAATGAAAATATGTAAGGAGGTGTAACTTAGCATTTCAATGTTTATTTATTTGTTTACAGCAATTTGGCAAAATCTTAGATGTGGAAATCATCTTCAACGAACGTGGCTCTAAGGTAATTATTTTTATTATTATTTTTTTTACATTCTTCTTGCTTTTGTAGGTCTTTGATGGAATCTTGACCTATCTATATACTGAATATACAGAAATAAAAGTCATATTGCGCATCTTTACTTTTGGTAAGTAGGGAAACCCGAATTGGAATGTTCCTGTAAAGTCTCACTATTAAGCTTGACATCACACTGTTGGGTGTTTGAACTTGCGTGTTGAACTCAGGAGACCAAATTCATAATGGTAGGGGAAGATGATTTGCAGTTGGGACAACAACATTCTCGCTGACATCACCAGCTCAGTTAGGCTCAAATGAATAGTTTTCAACACATTACAACTGTTATCACTGTAATGTACATGTTCAGCAGAAAGGAAAATTATCATACAACTTCATCTTAAGATGAGTTCCTGCTTGCGAACCTTCTGCAAACTTTGGAACTCCAGTTTGAGTAGGCTTAATTTTGATAAACGGACTATGTATTTGAAATCTGAACAGTTATTTTTTTCACCCAAAACTATTCAAAATTAATACAGGAGACATAGTAATGTTGTAGGGGGGAAACATCTATTATACAACTTTCACAAGTCCATGACAACACAAATATAAAACAAGAATGCTTTTTGAGGATGGTGTAATACTTTGCTGTTACAGAACAAAATACTACAGCACAATAAGTTACTGTATGTGCTGTCAGTGATTGGGTGATAAATCACACTGAGGGAAAACATGACTGTGATGTTGATGAAAATGTAACAGATTGATGTTCAAAATTAATGATATTTTGAATTAAATTATATTAATTAATTGTATCTATTCACTATATTTCATTACCAAACCACAGAGTAGTGGCTGATCAGTACTGGTATATTAAAAGATCTTCCTTAGAAAACATCCTTCTTTAAAGTTCCCGTAAAAATCCTTAAGTTCCCGTGTGATTCTTCGAATAGAATTATTTATATGTTTTTAGGTTTGGCTGGTGTGCTTGTTACGTTGTGTATTTTTTCTTATTGCTGATGCCATTCCATAAATGTTTATTTTCATAAATGTTTTGTTAGATTAAATTTACCCTATGATGACTTCATCAGAAAGCTCTATTTACTATAACACCTTTCAATCTTGAATAAACATCTGCTATAAAAGCGAACATGTTTGAAGGAGCCATGCTATTAATCTTTGAGGTCTAAATACAATAGGACAGCATAGGCAGTGAATGAGAAAAGGGTGGGAGGCTTGAAAGTCAGCAACTGTAATGTAAATAAAATGTCTGACAAAAGTATTGCAATTTGTTCATTTACATTAAAAAAATCATTCACTTTTTTTTTTTTTTTTACTTTTTCCACTTACTTTAATTAATGTAATACTCTATATTCGAACGGCTTATTTTTATTTTGTGGGATTAAAGCTTTAATTTAATAATTTGGGGGCCTTGCCCAAATGTTTTCAGGGGGTGACAGGTCTGGACTGCAGGCAGGCCTGTTTAGTCCCAAGACATTCATTATGGAGCCCCGCTGTTGTAATAATGTGGTTTGGTATTGTCTTACTTAAATAAACAAGGCCCTCACTGAAAATATATCACATCTGGATGGCATCATATGTTGCTCCCTTCACAGGTGTGTAAGTTACCCATGCCACGTGCACTAATAAACCCTCATGCCATCACAGATGTCGGTTTTTGAACTGTGCATTTATAACAAGCTGGATGGTCCCTCTCTTCTTTAGCCCAAAGCCACAGTATCCATGATTTCAAAAAACAATTTCAAATATTGAGTTTTCAGAACACAGGACAGTTTTCTACTTCATCTCAGTCCATCTTAAATGAGTTCTAGCCCAGAAAAATGGGCAGTGTGTCAGGATCTTGTTTATATGTCTTTTTTCTTTTTTTTTTTTGCATTTGTGTGTTCACTGACAGTGGTTTCCAGAGGTGTTCCTGAGCCCATGCAGTGATTAATGCAGTGTCACCTGAAAGCCAGAAGATCACGGCCATTCAGTAGTGATTTTCAGCCTGGTCTTTTGCTTACAGAGATTTCTCTGGGCTCTCAGAGTCTTTTAATAATATTGTGTACTGTAGATGATGAAAATCCCCAAACCTTCGCAATTTTACATTGAGAAACATTATTCTTAAATTGTTGAACTATTTGCCACACAGAGCAATGAACCTCACCCCATCCACTGAAAGAGGCAGCCTCTCTGGGATGCTGTTTTTTATGCAGTCGTGATACTGACCTATTGTCAGTTAACTTAAGGTGTTGCAAGGTTTTCCACCAGGTGTTTTTTTTGTTGTTGTTGTTTGTTTAAGCATCCCAGTCTTTTGTTGCTCCTGTCCCAGGTTTTTTGAAATGCATTGCTGGCCTCAGTTTCAGATTATTTTTATATAGATTATATAAAATTCAGATTAATCTTATATTAACTAAAATACATCAAACATCTTATTTTGAACATTATATAATATCTTAGATTTGTACTGTTACAAATAAATATGGGGTAAATGGGTTTTTCAAAACATGTCATTCAGAAAACATACACTGCAAGAACCCTAACCAAATGCTTGGGACACATAGCTATAGCCTGAGTCTTTGAACATACTGTCCTTTATCACGATCAGTGAGCTCTTAAGTGCTCATTTAAAACACAAGAGTTTTCAACTTGCTCACAAAGTTACATTTCAGCCAGCAATAGAGAATTAGAAACCTTACTGAAATCTACATAGCTAAGCACATATGTCTGTGTTCATTTTGGAATGAATATTGCCTTAAACTACAACTGATAGAATGATAAGCTTGATAGACAGTACATACGTGGTCAGAGCTTTGTTAAAGGCTCATTTCCTGTCATCAAGGAGTTAATTTTTAATATAGGATTTAAAAGTTAAATATTTTGGTTTGTGCTTCAATTGAGTCATGCCATTGTTCACTACAATGTTGAGTATAATATGTAAAAAATAATGTACATGTTGTTTGACACCTGTCTTCATTCTGCATGCAGGGTTTTGGGTTCGTTACGTTTGAGCATAGCGTGGATGCCGACAGGGCCAGAGAGAAATTACACGGCACCGTGGTAGAAGGTCGTAAAATAGAGGTACATGGCCTCAAAAATTTCTTTGTACTCCTTCCTTCTACCTGTCTTTGTTTCCCTTTTTGTGTGTGTACATGTGTTAGCGTATTTGTGTGTGTGTGTGTGTGTGTGCATTTGACAGTCTACCACCACATTCCACCTTGCTATCTTTCTTATGACATCAAACTGTCATTATTTCTCTTTCCTTGTGCAGTTTTATTAACCTAAACACAAATAAATATCAACATATAAGTAGTCCAGCATTACTTTATGTGATAAACTTAGCTTGTTTTTCTTTGTTTTTAACTTTTTAAATTTCTTTTAATTTTGTATTGTCAGCAAAATTGGTATTAACGAAGGCTTAAAAGTGAAAGTCCACCACTACTCTTATACTGTAGATAGACATATTTGTAGTTAATAAAGGACAAAGATTGCTTTGGATTTTGGTCATGAATTTTCAATGGCAAAAATGTTCTTATATATTTTTATATAAGAAAGAGATTTTTTTATATTGTTCAGCAAGACTACTTACAGTACTGTGCAAAAGTCTTAGGCCACCATTAGATTTGTTGATTTAGCAATGTTATGACGACTATATATATATGTACATATGTATAGTATTTATTTCTCAGTCTCTATCAGAACTAAAAAAATATAGGAAGTATGTACATAGTACTAAAAAACACCAAATGTCAGGAAAAAATTCATCAAACAAACTGAATACCCCAGATGTGGTGCTCAGGCTTTTCTAGAGAAACATGAAGAAGCCAGAGAGGTCAAGGACAAAAACAGGAGTAGAAGATCAAGAAAACTGTCAAAATCTGATGCTAAGTACAAAGGGAGGTCACACTAAATATTGACTTTTGGAAGAAACCAGTTTGGTCTGAAAATGTAGTTTTTTTTAATATTGTGTACATATTTCCTGTATTTTATATCCTAATAAAGAGACTGAAAAATAAATACAAATTATCATTACAACCTTACTAAAACAGCAAAACTAATGGTGGCCTGAGACTTTTGCACAATACTGTAGGAATTTGATGACACCCGGTGAGCAAAATGCAAAGTGTGTAGTACCACTAACCTAATTCAGTAGCATGTCATTACCAAAGTGCTATTTCAGTGTCTTGTGTCTACTCACCTGAGTGTCTGCTACTCTGAGTGGAGACATGAAACAACCAGACTTGAAGCATAACTCTGTCTACTTCTGACCCGAGTTTCAATATACTGATGTCAATACCTTAAATCATGACTGGTGTAGCTGTTTCCACCAAACCCCCAACAGAGTCTATATCATCAACATTCCACCTGTGGACCATATCACAGTTTACACAGTCCATACTGAAATTTCAAAATATCCACTACATAGGCTGCACTTTGGAGGGGAATCACATGAATTTCTGATAGTTGGGCAGAACTGGCACTGAGCAAGAATCACATATTGAAATTTTAAAGAGTTATCAAACTTTAAAGTGTCTTTTTGGATGATCTTGGCTTTGCTACGATCTATCACACTGTGGTCTTCCATTGGTAATCCTTCCACTGGTAATCCTTTGTGTCTACACCTGTTGTACACCCAGATCTTTTATTTCTATGATTATGCCCTGAGAGAAGTTAGACTACCCTGGAACCACAACAAATCGCCTCCATCCATCCACATTTAATTGCTTACTCTGGTTGTGGTAACAGCAGGTATAATGACCTCTAAGTCCTTATTTCTAGCCACTCTCCATCTCTTCATGAGTCATCCTGGGGTGTTTCCATAGCAAATGGGATAATTAATCCCTCCTGCAAGCTTTGGGTCTTTCTCAATGTCTCCTCCCAAGCTGGACATCCCACGAAAACCTACAGAAGGCCTGGAAGCACATTTACTAGCTTCTTATGATGCAAAGGGCTAACAGTTCTACTCTGAATACCCTGCCAGTGTCTGAGTTTTCACTGTATGGCTAAGGTTGAGCCCAGCCACATTGCAAAGAACTAAGCTTGTGACCAAAGGTGAGATTTGAGATGTAGCTTGACTGTTAAATGGACAGATTTGTATCAGACTGTGCTGTTTTCACCATGACTGTCTGCTACAGCACCTGTATTTGCAGATCCATCAGTTTATCAGTTCATTTTTTGTTCCATCTCAATAACAAGACCCTGAAATATTCAAAATACTTCACTTGAAGCAGTGACTGCTGCCAAATTTTTAGCTAATATATAGCTAATATATGGGTTTCAAAAAATTGTTGGTGTATACGTAAGTCTGTTACAGAAGTTTGGCCCTTCACACACTTATTGCCATCCAACATCAGCAGCTTTTTTCAAAATTAAAATATTCACATATGGTAAAAGACTAGACCGTAGCTCACCTACAATAAATCCTTCAATCCTTCAATCTATTTTCCCCCACTGTAGTAACAGTACGCCAGGTTAAATAAATTTTACACAGTTTCCAAAATCCTCACATCTCCAGGTTAGCAAAAATATCACATATTGCAAGCAACTGTACCCACAACATGCCCAAAACGGTACCAGTTCCAGATCTTTGGATTATCTGGGGAAACTGCATCAACGTCAGCCATTTTAAGGCCACAGCAGCCTTGTGTGCCTATACAGAGACCATGCTCTACCTCACCCCTGTAACTCCTCCTTCCTGCCAAATGTCTATTATTATTATGTCTGAATACCTTTAGGACTATTCAGCCATAGGAACTTGCCATCTGTAATTGAACTTGTACCCTTTGTTCCAGGTTCTGCTTTTGGTTCCACTGCCCCCTATCCACTTTGGAGACAAGTTCCAGGAGCTAAATTTCAGCACCCCTCAGGAGGTAGCACTAAATCAAGTTCCAGGAACCTGTGAGGGGAGGTGGCAGGTGCTCACAGGGCTGTCACCCATGATTGGTTTAACGGCAGTGTCGTCACATCTTAAGTATTATTATAACAGTCATGGTCTGTAAACATACATACTGGTTTAGAGGTGAAATGGGAATTTCAGCGAGTGGGCCGCAAGCAAAGTGGTGAAGCTATCCCATTTCAAAAGCTTTTTGATAAACTGCTCATACAGTCTCCATTACTGGCTGATTTTGTTGCACACATGATTAAAAATTATTGTGGTCACCGACCTAAAGCTCTCTCAGCTGTGTAGAGAGGCATTCAGCCCTGTCCTTATGTAAACAGTGATCGACACGGCAACAATACAGTGGAAAAGCAAAGTGGACTGAATGCCAAGTTCCACAGACTATTGCATATACTAGGAAGCTAAATTTCCATGGTGGAAAAACACTACCTGTGAACACGGGTATGAAACTCTGTTTGTAAGATACAACTAATTCCCAAGGTGACACATTCGTCTTGCTATTATCTTAGCCCCCACTCTTTTTTTAGTCATTTATTTAGTACTGTGTTTTTTCTGTTTCCTAAAAATCTATGCAAAGATGTCATCACCATCAAGCTATAGTAGTTCTTCCATATACCTTGTTAATTTTTTACTGTTGGATGTCTTTTATCTTCCCTCAGTCCTCTGGTGGCTCTGGAAGGTCATACCCCTTATTCCTTAGCCATAGCAGTACTATCCAGTTCTCACGGTACAACCTGCGGTTTTGCAGGAGACCAAAAGTCTCCTTTTTTGCCCGTATTTTGGTGATAGGTAATTATGTTGACTTCGCAGACACTTCAGCCCTTCATATCTTTGTTGCATACTATAAGTTTGCAGACAAACTAATGCTCATTTCATCTCTGCCACAATTTACTTTCATGAAAGAACAAACATCAGCAGAATTCACTTTTACAGTTCCTCTGTGACACCTTCTTCTCAAAATATATAGACTTACTGAACAGCTAATAGTTAAACTAGGCAATTATCTCTCCATCAAACTTGACTTTGAAAGTACAAGCTTCTGCTTCAACCTACATCTGGAAGCTTCTGTGAGAGCCAGGAACATACTTTAGTCCAAGGTCTAATACCTTAACTTATCATTTTGATGCTTTTTTCCACCTATGGAACCACCAAACATGTGTCTTTCACAGCTGTCTACATTATGGCTTCCAAGCCACCCATTACTCCAACTACATTCTCATAATGGCAGCTTCCATTCCCTCAATACATAGTAACTAATAAATTACGTACAAACTAGAATTACTGCTTCATGGTTGTATGCCTCCACCAACCAGTCAAATTCACAGGAATGGAACAGATGTGAGGTCACTCATCTTGACCTTTGACTGCCAAAGTGTAATCACTTCATTATTTTAGCCAAATTTGAAGAAATTCCCCTAAGGCATTCGTGAGATAACAGGTTCAAAAGCATGGTACAAATGTGAGGTCCCAGTGACCTTGACCTTTGACCACCAAAATCTAATGAGTTCATCCTTGAGGCCAAGTGAATACTTGTGTCAAATTTGAAGAAATCCACTCAAGGTATTCCTGACATAAAAAGGGTTCTAATACGCAAATCAACAGCACATTTCTTTTTATTTAGTTCAAACTGTCAAACATCAATACAGGGGGAAATGCACAGATGTTTCAGCTATGCTTTCGTCAGACCTTCAGTTTGATAAATTATGCAAAACTGAACTGAAACAAAGGTCAATTTCTTGAAATATTTCGCAGTTCAGTTGGGATTTTTGTGGACAATGCTGTGTACAAAATTTAAAGAAGAACAACTGACCATGCACACATGGGTCCTATGTTCTATATATCTGTGAGCTAGGAAAAGATCATGGTTAATACACACCAGCTAATCCAAATTATAATCTAATTTTTATTCTGTGCAAAACTATCCTTTTTACAACATTAGTGTAAAGTCTTTTCTCAGGCTGTTTGCACTTTTACATCCAGTTTCCAATTGGTATTAATATGTGATCTGCATTTGGATCAGGAAAAACAAGTTAAAGCGAGGAGTAAAGACATCTAGAACACACTGCATAGAAAATGTTCTCATACTGTAACAAACCACATCTGGATCTGATAGACTACATTTCAGCCTGCTATTCCTGTCATCTCAACCTGCCCATCAAGAAGTACAGATGAGCCCTTTCACTGAAAAGGAAAATTAATTATGCCCCATAAAGTAGCATCACCTAGTGGGCGTTCAGACCAAAAAACCCTGTGTTAAAACAGAGGAAAGATGGTGTTGGTAGGGGTGGGACATTAAATAAAATTAAATATGATCTAGGGATATGGCCACTTATGGAGCCATAAGTTTGTACGTTTGTGAGAACCCTAACCACTGCACAGTGATTTACAATACTAGAGACAGGATTTTGCTTTTGTGGAATGTCATCATGGCAGCAGTTATTTTGTGTTACACAATGGAGATCACAAGGTAGACATATTGTGTTCCTATTACAGGGTAATCAGGAATGTACTATAACTAGCACAACCTTGCCGAATGACATCACTTTGTCTTGCAAACTTTGAGCCAAGGTCAACTTTTTAAACAGACAATCCAGTTTTATTTTTTTATTTTTTATTTTTTGCCTGTTTGCTGGCACCTCTGCTGACCCCATTCAGATATATGGGGTGAAATTTTTTTCATGAGAGTTTGAAGTCAGTCTGAGCCCAATCTTACTTCTACCTGCAACTTACCAATGCTGAAGAATTTGTCAACTCTGCCCCCTAATTTGCATATTGGAATTCAGTCACAATGCAAGCAGACTCAACTACTGTAACTGAAATGTGATGAGATGGCATTATCCAGATAATGTGTACAAATACAAATCGCTTGTTCATATCAAGTGGACATGCAGTCAATTATAAACACACAAAGTCTGTATTCCGCATCGTTTTTCATAACAAACTTAGTGCCCTTATGTTTACAATGACAAAAACCTCCTTCTTGATCAATAAAGTTTGATCCAACAAAGTTTATGTAATCTTACTTCTAATAACTAGTCTAGGGTCTTGAAATTGACTTGGCTAGCTCAAAACTGAAAATGCAACAGAACTCTCATCAACATCAGCTCCTTTCACCATCCCAGCACTCTGCAATGCACTACAGAATTTATGAATGTTTTCTTTCCTGACTAGTTTTTGCTTTCCAACTGAATCAATACCATGATTGACAAGATTTTACAATACTTCATGAAGCCAGGCACAGGAATCAGTGACAGTAGAAAAACAAGTGCTAAAGCAATGACACAAGTACAGCAGCATCAAAAAATGTTTAAGGTAAATGTAACTTTAGATTCATTTACATTCATTTACATATTTTTGTGTTTCATTACAGTTTAATGAAACTATGTGTTGGGAAAAAAAAAAAGACTAAATATGCTCTGGGTCACTGGCTTTATAGGGCTCTATTTGAGAGCTTAGCCAGTATATGGTGTACAAAGGAGATGTTTCTGTTTCAAATCAACCAGTAAGATGGATAAAGATAGCTTTTCCAGACAAAATGGTCGGAGTTATGCTTTAAGAAGACCAGCTAACTGCTTGTGTAGAGAGAACTTAGTTTGTTCAGTGGAATGATTGCAAAGTTTTCTTGGCCTCCTAAGTAAGATGCTGCTTATTCCTTTCTCATTCCCTCCTCCCCCACCATCCTTCAGCGGTAGCTTGTTTAGGGCCCCATCCAACACAGTTACAACGGTAACAGTACACAAACAAGTGGGAGGGGCCAAAAGGTTTGGGAATGGTAAGTGTGAGCGAGCTAGCCATTCTGCCAGCATTTCCTCTCACTCTTCCTCTCTCTTTGCAACGTTTGCAACGCTAAAACTCACGTGACATTTCTTTTTGAATTGTGGTTGAGTTGATGCTGTATATTGACATAAATGTATATTTCCTTGCGTGTCGGCGTGCGTGTCCATTCACTAAGTGTTCTCCTGAAGATGCGTGTGCGAGCGATACTGTCTGAGATATGAATCTTTTTGCACATCTGAGATTGTTGGAAACCCATTTATTCATTTGTTTTACTTTGGAAGACAATGCATCCTTATTTTGTTTTATCCTGTTACCTGTTTTTTGAATTTGGAATGACTGATTGATTGATTGATTGACTTGGTTGTTTTATTTCAATACATCTATTTTCTTTCATAGTTTCCCCCCCTTTTTTAAATCTTAATAATGATTCTTGCAACGAATTAGAGAGTGTCAATGCCTTGTGTTGCTTTGGTCACAACAGTTCTTCTCACATTTAAGGTTGACTGGATGTTGCATAATGCTCCCAACATACTGTATTTTCTTCTACCCTTTCTCCCAATGACATTTTATTTGTCTGTGTTTTCTCTCCATTCTCTTTCCATCGCATGCATCTGTACATTTACAGAACATTATTTTGCCAAGTGCGTTGGTAGTTTCTTTACTGTTGTCTGTATGTTACTGAAATGCCACTATAATTGGGGAGAGCATGCTGGAAAACAAGATAGAAAACATGCAAATGAAATGTTTTGAATGTGTTTTAAGTGTTTCTGAATGCAATTTTGAAAACACAAAAACACCCATGTCAACATAGATATAAATGACATGGGTGTTTGCCATCACACAGTGTTTGCTATGACACAGTGTACTGCTTTCTTACAACAATAAAAAACACTGCATGCAGATTTACTCTATACAAACACTACTGGCATAACTTACGGAGTTCTCTCTTCACCTGCTTTAGGTCAACAATGCAACAGCCCGAATAATGACAAATAAGAAGACTGTAAACCCATATGCAAATGGTAAGGCCATGCTCATGTTTACACTGCCTATAAAATTGTTTACCTCCTTTGTAAGTTTTTGTTTATTGTTTTATTACATTAAATCAAAGTAGATATTAAGCGGCTTTCCTGATACTGCTCAACAGTAAAAGACCCTTTAATGTCAAAGTGAAAACTGATTCTACAATATGATAGTTCCTACTTGAACTACAAATCTAACCTACAAAATACATGGTTGCAAAAGTGCTCACCTCTTTTGACTAATGCAGCTTAGGATTTTACATTGTTAGTTAAATTGGAGATCACCTGTCTGTTGTCAAAGGGGGGATATTTAGTAAGGTTTGCCTATCTAACATTTTGTGTTGCCAGAGAATTTATTTGCTGCTATAATTCATGTAACTGCAACTCTAATTCGTGTAACTCTTTTGTTATGTCATTAGAAAATGCAATTTCAGGCAAGAATATTAGCTATTGAAATAATAATTTTGTAATTTTGTATCCAACATTTTAAAATATATTTGCTACTAGCATGTCAAGGAGGTCTAATCTCTAAAAAATTTCAGTCTGTCGATTAAATGTTCATGTGGTCTAATGTGTAGATTAAAATTCAGTCAGAACATACTGGGCAAACAAACTAACCACAGTAAAACATTGTTCCCTGCTCTGCCTATTCGTCTTTGTTTCTTAGTCTTGCTGTTTTTCTATGTTTCAGGCTGGAAGTTTAATCCAGTGGTCAGCGCTGTCTACAGCCCAGAATTCTATGCAGGTAGGAGGACATGCCCTTCTCCATCAGTCACCATCTCCTTTGTCATTATCTTCCTCCTCCTCATTCTTTTTCTTCTTCAGTTTCTTCATCATCTTCATTTTCTCCTCCTCACGGTAAACCCCCAGCCACAACCTAGCCAGCTATCATTCACCCCAGCATTTATCTATAGCCACTGCCCAGCTCCCACTCTGTCATTAACCATGGCCATTTGAGTGAAAAACACCTGGATTTTGTGATAAGAGGAGCAAAGACAGATAAAAAAGTGTGGCAGAGGAGTGAAGAAAGGTAAAGGACAAGAAAAAGGGAAATCTAATTGTTCGTTTCTGCAAGGACTTTAAAAGGTATGAATTATATTTTGTAAATTAAAATCAATATTTTCAATTTCTCCAGACATTTGTTTGCCTAATTCACCCCCACACTCTTTTAATTATGAAATGGCTTTGTATTGATTTACCTTTGTCTCACCTTTCAAGTACCCAAAATGCCAATGGGGCATATGTGTGTGTGCGCGTGTTCACATATGCAAAGAGTGTACAAGCTTTTCAGGCTTTTTCTGTATTGATAATTTGTGGAAATTATGTTATTAATAGGCTATTACAGTGATTCAGGCTAGGGTCCAAGAGGTGGTTAATTGGTTCATGTTTTTTTTTTTAAAGAAGAGCAGATTAAGAGTAGGTGCACATTCATTTGCCTAAAATTTTAAATACGTTTTTCATATGACAACCATTTGCACACATATTCGTGTTTCCAGGTTGTTTTAGTAGAAAACTCAGTCCATACTTAAAATGTAAAAGTGGCTAAATCTCTTTTTCTGTACTTTATTTAGTTGGCAAACAACACCGCATCAGAGTCAACATCTGGTGAGGACTGAGAGAGGCAGTCAGTTTATAAAATCATTATTTTATGGTCATGACATCATCTGACAAGCACAGGTCAATGACAACAGCTGTGCTGTATCATCTGCTATACTGACATTTAAAATATGTGATCAAAGAAAAAGTTAGAGGGCAGAAAGTTCTCTTGTTGCGGTCACACAGCCCCTGCCTGTAACTAGGCAATGAACACAACCAGTTAATCTGGATTTATAGTAAGCACAAGGAGTCCTACCATTATTATTTTGATTTATAGCTGAGTATCTGATTTCACCCATTGATATCACCTCTGCAATAATAGCTGCATGTGTTGTACTATATGCGATCAGGCTGTGTCATGCTTTATATTCCACACAGTATCTGTATTTACATTATTTCACTGACTTTGTGATACAAAGCATCAGTGACCTATACACATAGATGTTTAGAACTTTGGTAGAATACACATTTTATATTAATTTGACCAATAAGGGGAATGGGTAGCAAGGCTAATTTTAAAAATAATTTGAAGTTTCATTAAATAACTGGGAGTAATTCAAATTATAATCCTTATCCATTTAATTTGTTATATGCATAATTATATAAAAAATGAGTCCATGTAGCGATGATGTCCAACACCATCAATAAATTGTAGTTTATCTTTAGTTTTACTTCTGAGTCATTAAATGCTATAACATAGGTTTTTGGGAATCACAAATTATCAAGTTGTCAAATTCTGATGTACAACAGAGCAAATATCTCTCAGTCTCAGTTAATAAGCCACTTCTTGAAAGTTAGTTGTAAGCAAAGAGTAATATAGCCCCCCAACTCCAACCTCAAATATGTTTTAGGTGATAGAAAATACAGGAGTTTCTCTGCTTCTTCAAATCTAATAGTCTTCTCACTTTTCATTCAAATCTTTAATGTTATAGAATAAAAAGTTGTATGTAGTCATCAGTTACATATTGAATAGCTGGATGGTGATATACCCTAGCAGACCATTAAATAAGAACAAACAAACAAAAAAAATACACATAGCTACACACCTGGATTAGGCAATTTACCCCATTCTATTCTTATATTCCATTCATTCTGGCTTTGGTTATGGCAGGCGATGGCAGTCAGATACTTCTGAAGCTCTCTCAGAGAGACCATTGGGTTCTTGGTCACCTCCCTGGCCAATGCCATTCTTGCCTGGTTACTCAGTTTGGCCAGAAGGCCAACTTTAGAAAAAGTCCCAGTCCAAACATCTTCCATTTCACAATTAGTGAGGCCACTGTACTCCTGGGAACACTCAAAGATTTAGAAATGGTTATATATTCCTGTTCTTATCAATACTGTGCCACAGTTTTACCACTGAGGTCTGCACAAAGTTCCTAGGGCTTAATGTTTTGGATTTTGTCCTGACATACAGTGTGAACTGTGGGAGATTACTGTATATAAACTATTGTAGTGGATCTGTCTCAGTTTGATAGATAAAACCATTACCTCGGAGCACCATTTCCATTGACAGCAATTAATTAATCATAACTTATAAATCTAATTATCAACCAAATTATTAACCTTAAGTCTGAAGGATGGGTTCTTGTCAAAACAGTGACCTTGGCTTTACAACTACAAGGAACAGAGAGAGCAGCTGAATACTGGCAAGTAAATGACAAGATAGAATAAATTGATTGGATGAATATTAAATAACGTGATTAATTTGAGCTGATAGACTTATCCTAATGATTATGGCAAGATGGGAATTTGGAAAGTGAATTTGGATTCCTAAACACTGAGTGCAGATCACCTCTGGCTACATCCTGTAAGAACAGACAATGCGTCCTGATGCACACCAACACTGTTTGACATCATGTCTATAGCCGCATACTGATAACTAGTTTATTTACCTTACTTAAAAATAATCTTTATGATACACAAATTATTCATAGTCAATTCCAGCAGAGCAGTTGTTGATTTAAGGGTTAATTTTGAGTTCATGTGGTCATTAAAATACTTTTGGGTACCCGATCTCATGCTTCACAGCCTATGCACTTGTTGGGAAAATTGCAAATGCGATGAGGTGGTCTGAGCAGGCGTCATCACTATCTTTATTTCCAGTCAAAACGAGCACCCAAGTTGCATACACATGGCCTCAGCTTCTCATCTCCTCCCACTTCAGCATAAGCACATTCTTTCATGGCAGGAAAACACCAAACACACCAATGCACAAAAAATTAGACATGTTTGAGGAAAACTGCAGAAGGACTACATTTGATGCAATGCAGAAATTGTACTGGCAGGAAAACAGAGCCCATGGTGTCTGCGGTCATGCCATCATTCATACATGAAAAAAGCACACAGTATAGCATAATAAATTAAAACAATTAAGCAGCAGAGTTTTCAAAGGAAGCCACTCAAGACCTTTTTATGCGGAGAGCTCACTTACATCCAACTTTAAGTTCTGCCAACTTCAACGGCAAACCCTTTTTTGGCCGTTTAATGCACAAAAAGGGGCTCATTCTGTAATTCTTAGTACATTTAGCCATATGTACTGCAATTGTCATTAGTTTGCACTATTGCTCAGTATTCTTATGTCTTAATGAGTCCTAAATTGTTCTCTATCTGTATATACCAAGCACTCCTTTTCATTTAGGCCATATTAATAATTCAGTGGAATAGTACTGAGAGGAGCCATCACTGTGACTTTAAGGTGGCCAGGCCAGTGGGCCCTAAAATCAAGGTGACAAAAGATGAATAGGAACAATTACAAGTTTCACATTTCTTCTTGTCTCTCTTTGAGAAACTCTTATCCTTTGGCTCAAACCTTCCATTTTTCATCAGGTCAATGAATGATTCACTGTATCTATTAGCATTTTATTAGATCTCCTTTTTGAAGAGATGTATAATTAGGACTGGAAATGGCACTTCAATCTCCTTCTCAACCTTCACTCACCCCAGTTCTCAAATTAAGCTTAGTGTCAGCTGGCCCCCCATTAAGATTAATGATAAGTTAATAACAATACCACTGTAATTGCTCCACTCCTCTGCCACTCTCTCTTTATTATTTCTTTCTCTTCCAATTTTTCCCACAAAACTGGAAATGGGAGGACACTTTTCACATTCTCTTCAGGATGTAAATGTCAATGCCAACTATAGGCGTACAGTTCTTTGTACTATACCATGCAACAAACACTATTTAAATAACCTGCCTTGAGCAGAAATTGTGTCACTTTTTGATCTCAAGTATCAGGTGTGTATCATTTTCTGTTCTCTGCTTCCAGTACCAAGTTTTCCCTACCCAGCAGCCACTGCAGCAGCAGCTTACAGAGGAGCCCACCTACGGGGTCGAGGACGCACAGTATACAATGCATTCAGGGCGGCTGCTCCACCTCCCCACATTCCAACTTACGGAGGGTGAGCATCCTTTTTCACTCTTGTCCTGTTCTCATTTTTCCCTCTTCTTTCTCTCTTTCTGTTGTCCAGTGGCAAATCCTGAGTCTCTGTACTCACAGTTAGTAGAGCGATGCATGTCAGTCTCACCTCCCCCACTTTCACAGCATGTTGAATCAACCAACAGACATGTTCTAAGACATGTCCCTTTACCAGGACTCATGGGAAATGACTGTCAATTTCATCTTGTACTGTGGTATCATCGAGCAAGGCTGTGTTCATGGAGGAATGGGAGGTCCTCCACTTTTGGAGTTTACCAAGTTGCCAAGAACTCTGGAGACAAGCCAAGGAGCGCTATGCATTTTAGCAGTGACATCTGATTTACCTTTACTTTGTTAGTACCTTCCATTTAATATTCCCAATGATGGCAAGCAAATGGGGACTAAGGAGGCTGGATAGAAGTCCATTTAAGGATGGGAGCAGATAGGATTTTTTTCTTTTGTTCACATTTGTCAGGTTTGCTTCCAAATGCAGCACAAACTGTATCAGAGGTTCCAGATAATCAGAAAAGAAAATGCTATTTAATGCACATTTTTATCTGCTACTGCATAGATAGTCATTGCACAGCATGCAGGCCACATAGCGTATGTTTTGGTGCCCACAGTTGGTGCCCACAGTTGCCCCCTCACTTAGGGACAGCATGTTGTTGGTATTATATACTTCAGTTGTGTCAAGAGGTCATCGGGTTGAACCCCTGTCAGATGAGTGTGCCAAGAGTGTGGATCATTTTGTAATAAAACAGCAGCTTGGGAAAGAACAACCAACTGCAGGGCAAAGTGAATTATGTCAAGTGTAAGACAAAGGTGGAGAGGAAGAGAATGAGCAAATGAGTGCAAGACAGAATAGGTAGAGAACAGGTCTGCAAAATGAGAAAGGTTTGTATCATAGAAAAAACACTTAACAGTTAATATTTTAACGCTATGCATACATTCTTTGCATACATATGCATTTGCATGCAACTATGCAATAATGATAAATTTCCAATTGGCAGGAACCAAAGAAGGAATAATACTGATAACACTGGTCTAATTAAAGAGCAACAATATGTCATGTCAGAGTCCTGCACAGGGTCTGGTACCCACAGGTCCCTGATGGGTACCTGTAAAAACTGATAATGGGTAAAGAAAAGTTTACATTAATTCACATGTGCGGGCACAGGTAAAAAAAAACTAAAAAAAAAAAACTAAATGCAAGCAGGTAGCGAGTGAAATAAACACAATTGAGATTAAAAATAAACAAATAAAGGTGCAGTTTCTTTTAAATGTCTAATCCAGCATAATTTTATCAATCCTAAATAACCAATATATTTACTCTGAAGGCCTATGGCACAACGACTGATGCCTCTACTACATCTTGCTAATAGGTGGGTTTCATCTGACATCACATCAGTGTGTTGCTGTAGTGTGAAAGAAAGATGGATAGCAGAAAGAAAGAAGGCAGTAATATAACAAACTCTCAAAGTACCTGAAGTTTGTAGCATTTATGGCTGATCAATTCAGTCACACCAACAAAGCAGACAAAGCTTTTATTGAGTACCAAGAGTAGCTGTTTATAAGGCGGAAAATGTAAAAAACTGACCATAAAACTCTGGTATAGTGTCAAAGAGTTTTTCCTTGCCCCAATGTTTCTTCTCTGTTAAACAGTGTTTCCCTTAGCGCCCCCATCAGTGGTCAGAGCTAGGATAAATTAGATTGACTTTAAAATGGCTATGGCATGCTCATTTCCAGCCATTTAATCTTTAATCTTGGTACCTCTAGATTAACTAAGCACCCATAATAATTCCAAATAGTCTTTAATTATTTCAGAAGATAAAACGTGTGAGTCTCCTCCTGAAAATGGGAGAATAGTTTGTGAATGCACACAACTCCTGTTGCCAGTGTTGTGGCGACATCTGTTTCCCCATTGAGATGCATTTCCCATAACCTGAATCTTAACATTAACCAAACCACAACCACTGAGGGGGGAGCTACATGAAACCAAGTTTTCAGTTTTGAACAGGGGAAACACATCTCAATGGAGGAATACTTATAGACACCAGACCAGTCAGGAAGCCAGGACAATGCTTAAACAAAAACATTAACAAATAAGCTACGTTTTCAACAATGACAATACCTCATTGACATTGTTTCCTGCTATGTTCGAGCCAGAATATGAAAGTGGACACAACCACAAACTGCAACAGCATTAATACATTTGAATTTCTCCTCCTAGGTAAACAATGGTATATGTACATATGCTATATTGCCAAACGTATTCACTCACCCAGCCAAATCATTGAATTCAGGTGTTCCAATCACTTCCCTGGTTACATGCAGACCACTTCTACTAACATTTGTGAAAGAATGGCTCGCTCTCAGGAGCTCAGTGAACTCCAGCGTGGTACCGTGATAGGATGCCACCTGTGCAAGTCCAGTCGTGAAATTTCCTCACTACTAAATATTCCACAGTCAAATGTTAGTGGTATTATAACAAAGTGGAAGCAACTGGGAACAACAGCAACTCAGCCACGAAGTGGTAGGCCACGTAAAATCACAGAGCGGGGTCAGCGGATGCTGAGACGCATAGTGCACAGAGGTCGCCAACTTTCTGCAGAGTCAATAGCTACAGACCTCCAAACTTCATGTGGCCTTCAGATTAGCTCAAGAACAGTGTGTAGAGGGCTTCATGGAATGGGGTTCCATGGTCGAGCAGCTGCATCCAAGCCTTACATCAGCAAGTGCAATGCAAAGCATCGGATGCAGTGGTGTAAAGCATGCCGCCACTGGACTCTAGAGCAGTGGAGACGTGTTCTCTGGAGTGATGAATCACGCTTCTCTATCTGGCAATCCCATGGACAAGACTGGGTTTGGCAGTTGCCAGGATAATGGTACTTGTCTGACAGCATTGTGCCAAGTTTACAGTTTGGTGGAGGGGGGATTATGGTGTGGGGTTGCTTTTCAGGAGCTGGGCTTGGCCCCTTAGTTCCAGTGAAAGGAACTCTTAATGCTTCAGAAGACATTTTGGACAATTTCATGCTCCCAACTTTGTGGGAACAGTTTGGGGATGGCCCATTCCTGTTCCAACATGACTGTGCACCAGTGCACAAAGCAAGGTCCATAAAGACATGGATGAGTGAGTTTAGTGTGGAAGAACTTGACTGGCCTGCACAGAGTCCTGACCTCAACCTGATAGAACACCTTTGGGATAAATTAGAGCGGAGACTGCGATCCAGGCCTTCTCGTCCGACATCAGTGTCTGACCTCACAAATGCGCTTCTGGAAGAATGGTCAAAATTCCTATTAACACACTCCTAAACCTTATGGACAGTCTTCCCAGAAGAGCTGAAGCTGTTGTAGCGGCAAAGGGTGGGCCAGCATCATATTAAACCCTATGGATTAAGAATCGGTTGTTACTCAAGTTCATTTGCATGTGAAGGCAGGCAAGCGAATACTTTTGGCAATATAGTGTATGTTCCAGTGAAGAGATTTGTAACACTAAACAAAATGAGTAGTTGAGAACCCTCACATTTTAAATGGGATAATGCAGACATAGTAACTTCTCCAGCCTTACAAAAATTGTCTCTACAGAAACAATGTATTAACAGGCATGCAATGTGTGTGTTTTTTTATTTTACATACCTTAGGTAAAGTCACATCAAGTAGTGGAAACATCACTCTCTTTCAAGTAGCTTCAAGGTCGGTAAATCCAACCAGTGATCACTGTGTCTTCTCCCACAAATCCCACGCGTTGCAGGCAACCACATTCTCAAAGTACTGAAATGTATTCACACAGGTAGCGTTGCACTGACAATAACATCATGGATTGTTACATGCAGCAGACACATTGGCCTCAAGCATTCAAAACAAACAGGTACTGTGCTCCAGGGGAATCCAGCATTGATGAGCTGATCATTCAGTGCCACAGGGGGCTTCACTGGCCAGCTGCTTGTAGGTTAGACCCGGTCAGGTAAAACACAGGTCTCTGTACATGAACATTCTCGGACATGCAGTAACCTCAGGCCCTGTATTTTTCTCCACGTCCTCTGGTCACAGTGCAGCAGCAGGAGGTAAAATATATCCACAAATCCACGTGCAGTCAGCAAATTCCACTTTTAGAATGGCAGCAGTGGATGTCATGCAAGGTCACGTGAATGCACAACTGCATGGTGATTATGACCATTCAAGGAAATCCATAAACTATAATGTAAGAATTTACATTGTTGGAAAAAAAGTCTCATGAGCAAGAGTTTCTGAGACTTGTATAAATCGAGTTAGTTCTGCAAAGAAATACTAGAACATTTGTATGCCAAATTTTTTGAGCTTTAGGTCATGTGTAAAATCATAATTCATTGTAGATAAGTCAGAAAACCAGGATAAGCATGCTGGCTAACTGTGCCCTTGCAATGAGCTGCAGTGACGTCTTCATCTTGTTTTGCGATTATCATCCACCTGACCTTTGAGAGTGGTTAAACAACCATAACTTTAACGTCGAGAGACATCAAAGCTTTGCGTGTGCGGGGCGAGTGCAGGTTTTCAAAATTGGACCTGTGCAGGACTCTGTGTCATGTCAGCTTATTGATGACTGATGACTGAGATCTGCCAGCATGGTCTACTGATAAAAATGAGTGACTTTACTCTTATGTAAATATTAGAAGTTGGATGTATGTATTAAACCATTGCAGAAAAAGATGGCACAAGATGATATAATTGAAAGAGCAGCAGTCATGTAAAACCATGAGAAGTGTGCTACAGACTGTACTTTCATTAACGCTGCTGCACCATTTAATTGCTCCAGTGGCAGTCAGATGGTGAATTATTAATGTGGACCATGATGTATTTTTATTAAAGCTGTCTGTCTCAAGTGGCAATGAGCCAACTCCAAATAAATCCTGTGACACAGTTAGGAAACCAAGTTTGCTTTCTATATATGTTGTTCATTAAATGTTCCTTTATATCTTTAAGGGGGGCCTGACATGACAGTTTGCA